GGATTCCTCAACGGCACGTCGAGGATTCTCTGCCCGGTCAGACACGATCTCTCGCGCGGACATTCACACTCGCCATGGGCGTGCCGTCTGTGCTCTCCGCGCGGATGTTCACTCTCGGCACTACTCTCACATGGTAGAGGGCTAGGGAATCCTCGACCGTTATTCATCCTGCCGCCCACCGAGGGTGGGTCTCCCCAGTTCAATCTGGCTTACCAACGCACACCTATACCCACTTTTGTCCCCGGTCTCGAGGCTGTTTTGTGACTGAATTTGAAATCATGGTCCTCAGTACCACTCATTTCGACGCACGCCACGCCCACTGTGGGCGGGGCTCCGCTTAGGTAATGTATGTTTTTTACTTCTCGAGATATGGTACACCCATCCCAAACTTGACCTGGACCCAGTAGGTTGTTGTTCGCTTAATACGGTAGACCAATTTATAAATCTCGTCATGAACTCAGCCTATTTCGGTGCATGTCTCACCCATCTTTTTCTTCCTTGCTAATAGCTTCCGTTTTCCCCGGTCTCTGAACTGACCCTGAGCAATCTATATGCTTGGCGGCTAACGCGGCCACTTTAGTGCATCCAACCACAAATAAAAATTGACTTCCCTCCCTTTGCCGGCCTCCATCTACTTTATTCCCAGTTCCTAGAGCTTCGTGGAACCACTTTATAGGTCTGGCAACAAACCCAGCCCACTTAGGTCATACCCGCTCACCAATGAAGATTGAATTCTCTCCCTTCGCTGGCTTCTATCCACCTTTTTTCGGTTTCCGGACTATCTCTGAACCGACTTTTAGTTTTGCAGCCGAGCTCCGCTCACTTTAGTCATGCTCCGCCTACCAAGACAGTTGACCTCCACTCCTCCACCCACCTCTTTCCACTATTTTCCCGGTCTCCGGGACTTCTTGGAACCGAGTTATGTACTTCCGTCGAAAACTCCGCCCACTTTGGTCATGCCCCGCCCACTTACAGCAGTTACCCTTGCTTCCATCGCAACTTCCGTCGAAAACTCCGCCCAATTTGGCCATGCCCCGCCCACTTACAGCAGTTACCCTTGCTTCCATCGCAGACCTCTATCCACTTTTTTCCCAGTTTCCGGGACTTCTTAGAACCGAGTTGTAGGTCTGGCAGAGTTGGAAGTTCTGGCAAACTCCGCCCACTTTGATGCAAACCTTGCCTGCCAAGGGCAATCGACCTCCTTCCCTTGACCGACCTCTATTCGCTTTTTCCCGGTTTCCATGACCCTTTAGAGCCTACTTATAAAGTTTCGTGGATAACTCCGCCCACTTTGGTCATGCCCCGCCCACCGATGACAGCTGGCCTCCACTCCTCCACCCACCTCCATCCACCTTTTTCCCGCCTCCGGGACTTCTTGGAGCCGAGTTATGAATTTTCGTCGCAAACTCCGCCCACTTTGGTCAATGCCCCGCCCACCGATGACAGGTAGCCCTACTCCTCCACCAATCTCCATACACCTTTTTCACGATCTCCGAGACTTCTTAGGGCCGAGTTATGGATTTTCCCGATCTGCGGGACTTCTTGGGGCCGAGTTCATGGATTTTCGTCGCAAACTCCGCCCACTTTGGTCATGCCCCGCCCACCGATGACAGTTAACCTCCACTCCTCCCACCACCTCCATCCACCTTTTTCCCGGCCTCCGGGACTTCTTGGAGCCGAGTTATGAATTTTCGTCGCAAACTCCGCCCACTTTGGTCAGCCCCGCCCACCGATGACAGTTGGCCTCCACTCCTCCACCCACCTCCATCCACCTTTTTCACGATCTCCGAGACTTCTTAGGGCCGAGTTATGGATTTTCCCGATCTGCGGGACTTCTTGGGGCCGAGTCATGGATTTTCGTCGCAAACTCCGCCATTTTGGTCATGCCCCGCCACACCGATTGGACAGCTGGCCTTCCACTCCTCCACCCATCTCCATCCACCTTTTCCCGGTCTCCGGGACTTCTTGGAGCCGAGTTATGGATTTCCGTCGCAAACTCCGCCCACTTTGGTCATGTCCCGCCCACTTACAGCAGTTGCCCTCGCTTCCATCGCAGACCTCTATCCACATTTTTCCCAAGCTCCAGAACTTCTTAGAACCGAGTTTTAGGTCTGGCAGAGGGACTTATGAAGTTTCTGGCAAACTCCGCCCACTTTGATGCAAACACTGACTGCCAAGGGCAATCGAACTCCTTCTCTCCACCCACCTCCATCCACCTTTTCCCGCCTCCGGGACTTCTTGGAGCCGAGTTATGAATTTTCGTCGCAAACTCCGCCCACTTTGGTCAAGCCCCGCCCACCGATGACAGCTGGCCTCCACTCCTCCACCCACCTCCATCCACCTTTTTCCCGGCCTCCGGGACTTCTTGGAGCCGAGTTATGAATTTTCCCCGACTCCGGGACTTCTTGGGGCCGAGTTGGATTTTCGTCGCAAACCCGCCCACTTTGGTCATGCCCCGCCCACCGATGACAGGTGGCCTCCACACTCCTCCACCCACCTCCATCCACCTTTTTCCGGCTCATCTAGACTTCCCCGGCCCGAATTATGAGGACTTGTAGAAAACGCTGTACACTTCAGAGCGCGCCCCGCCCATTCTGGGCGGGCCTCCGCCCACGTCATGTATGCTGGAAACACCTTAGACATTGCTCCCTTACACCAATTTGTTTTCTGCTCTGTAGGCTTTCTCCCAACCGAGTTATGAAATTTTTCATAAGCACTGCTTTTTTGGAGAACGCCCCGCCCCGGGGGGGCTCTCTCTGATTCGATCAGACTTACCAATACACACCTTACCCTACTTTTCTTCCCAATTTCGAGGCTGTTTTCTAAGAGAATTGAAAATCTCGGTCGTCAGTACACTTCATTTCGACGCACGCCACGCCCACTGTGGGCGGGGCTCCGCTTAGCTGATGTGTGTTTTGTACTTCTGAGACCTGGGCCACCCAACCCACACTTGACCCGGTCTCTCCAGGTGAATCCCAGGAGCTAGGGAATTTCGTGACAGACATACAGACGACAGACGACAGACGAAGCGCTTCATAGTAAGTAGGTCCTTTTGTTGAGCACTGCTGTTTTGGAGAACGCCCCGCCCGCCGTGGGTGGCTCTCTCTGATTCGATCAGACTTACCAATACACACACCTTACCCTACTTTTCTTCCCAGTTTCGAGGCTGTTTTCTAAGAGAATTGAAAATCTCGGTCGTCAGTACACTTCATTTCGACGCAACGCCACGCCCCACCCCACTCGGGGGCGGGGGCCTCCACACGAAAAAAATCAGGTCCTAAAGGGAATACTCACTTTTATTAACGTGCTTGACTCGTAAACCACGAGAGCATTTTGGGAAGAATGATAGCGGGAAATATTGTTATGAAAGGTATATGGCAACGCTGTGATTAAGTATGTTTCAGCTCAAAGGTGAAGAATGACATTATAGTGGTAAAGGTCAATTAAATAAAAGCAGGTTCCTAAGTCTCAAATGCTGATGTTATGAATAAAGGTGGCATTGTGAGCATTTCGCGTGATCAAATTTCCTATTGGGTTGAGTCTACCTTGTTGAGCTAAGCAGTCAGCTCTCATAGGCGAGGTCATCTCATAGAGGAAGGTGTGAGGTGACCACTTCGAGGTGTGAAAGGTCACGGCTGATTAAGTCCCCCTCCTAATCTGACGCTAAATCGACACAGTGCGCGCTGCGACTCGCCCGCCGACCCGCCGCGTATCTGCCATCCCGCCCCGCCTCTTGTCGGGTACCCCTTCCTTCCATGCCCCGCCTTCGCGCCGCCCCACCCACCTTCGACCGTCCATAGTGTTTGACTTCGTAAGTTCTTTCTTTTCGGAAACTAAATCTTCTAACGTAAAGCTTTGTACAGTCGGTATCTCGAACTCTGATTGGGCGTGTCACCGGAAATGACGTGGCAGCCATCGCACTTGCTAGATGCCACGTGGATAAGATACTCCGCCAGATATCAGCGAAGCATGCTGGAAGCAGCTTATCCGCGCAATTTCTATCAAGTGCGGTGGCTGCCACGTCATTTCCGGTGACACGCCCAATCAGACCTCGAGATTTGGAGTGTATGTTGTCCTTAATAATCACACTGACATATTCATGGTGGGAAAGAGTGCAGGATTTCCGTAGAAAGATTCCTGTAATCAAAACCCTATCCGATGACGTACGTACTCTAATTAGCACGTACATACATCCATTAGCATTGATTGAACCTCTATCCGAGCAAGGCTTTAGCTGAGATGTTCTAGCAAAATGCAACCTAGGTCAACTCAGGTAGAGCAATCGCATTTCGTTTGCCCTCATGCAAAAAGCGGCTGTGCACAGCAAACATATTGATCCACGATGGTGGGGACCGTATTTGGAACTTTTCCGCTTCTTTACACTTGACCATGCTCAAAATTTCGACATCAGAAATCATCGTGTCCTAGCCCGAGCTATAACTTGCATGTGACTGCTGACTTACGCACGAGAGTACTCAATTTTGAATCAGTAATCATTTCCAGGCTCTTACAAGGACTCCACTTTGTGTGTTTTATGAATCCCATCTTAGTTTTTATTATAAACAGTCGATTTGACAAGTACAAACAACATACACCATAGTCAGAAGGGTCATTGAGAAAGATGGGAACAATCGGGTCTGTTGTACAACTCCAATACATACAGTATACAAGTTCTGGGATCATCGGAAAATCAATAACCGTAACACGGAACCAAACTAAAGTGACGGGAGTAGAGATCGATTTCGTTTTTGTTTCGGTTAATCGCCACATGGAGAAGAGATAAAACATGAATCTTGAAAAATAAAGTTACATCCGCACAAAAAAAAACAATTTTTGAACGACAGAAGTACAGTCCGTCTCGCTGCAGTGACCCTGTCTGAAGTAAAGGGTATTCGAAGGACGCAATTACTAAGGTCCTTTGGCCCCGTGCCTCAGGCACGATCTCGGGCGAAACAGGCTGCATCTTCTGTCAAGGTGAGAGAACGTGGGAGTCAGGGAGTTCAGTCGAGATGGTGCCATTGTGCCACTTGACGTCCGGGGTTTTCCAGTACTTCCACGACGTGCTGGTCTTCCAAGTTCAGAAGCGCGCGACCAATGACGTCGTTGCGGTTCGATCGGTCATGGTTTATCACCTGAAGGAAAATACATTCGGATCTCTAAGATGAATGCGGCTGATGAAACTAAGATCTGAGTAGATTTATTTCTTGATGCATCTTGATGCGTGATTCAGATGGTTTTATCGAATGTGGTTTTATCGAATGGATTGAAGTCATCAACGGTTAACTTGAATGAGCCCCTAAGGAGTAGACAGACCGAAAGACAGTGAGCAAGATGAAATGCGGCAGAGAAGTGCATGCATCCACGGATGGCACCTGCCAAGCTTTGCGGCCAATCGCTTGCGCTCGTATCACGCTATTCAGTAGCAATTCAGGGGGTACCAATTCAGGGGATTCATAGGCGCGCGTCGAATCGCGCGCGCTCGAATCGTCCGGAAATCACCCACTGCCTCCGAGGGCAGTGATTACACAAAGTGTGTGCGCGCCGGGGAAGAAGCGCACTGTAAGACTGCGTTCATACTTTGCGCCGTTGCGAACACTGCGTTCGGTGCGGAGTGCAAAGAGCGCAAGTCGATAGACATTTGTTTGATACATCCTTCTATTTGATGATGTTTTGTGCACCGTGCTGCTTTTGTTCGTGTTTTATTGCTCAAAACGTTATCTTTTGTATGAAATATTGTTCTGCGCACTGTTGAACTCGCCCAGGGCTCATCGTCCGTTTAGAAGCAACTGCATAACGCTACTCGTTCAGAGACACCCCGTTTCAAAAATAAGTTAAGACAAAAAAGAAGCCTAAGCAAAAAAAAAAACACCAACAAAAGCAGCACAGTGCACAAAACATCAAAAATCGAGCGGCTGCACGCTTCATGGCGCCAGAGCGCGTGTCACCGCTCTTCGGCATCGTACGCAAACCTCCGCGCAGTCCGCACTTCCCAACGTTTACGGCAAGCGGCGCAAGTATGAAGCAGCCTAGGAAGGCAACTTGTCGCATCGGCAAGACGTAAGCAAACCAGCCCTTTTGGCGCTTCGGCTGGGACCGTATGCTGAATGTTGGGGAGGGGATGGAGTCCCCGACGGTGGACGGACCACTTCAACTCGGTCCTTAGAACCGCCACAATTTGGTGCTTACCTCAGAACTAAGCCTTAAAGAGAGGACGGGTCCGTCCCCTCTCCAAGGCTTAGTCCTGGGGTGAGCAAACCAGCCCTTCTGGCGGAGCTGCTGGACCAGCTGCACCACTTGCGTCAGTACTCTCCTATCGTACCAACCGAGTTGAAGTAAACCGTCGACCGTTGGGGACCCCATCCCCTCCCCAACATTCAGCATACGGTCCCAGCCGAAACGCCAAAAGGGCTGGTTTGCTTACCTCCACGGCAAAGGAAAGCAGATTTGCGGCGTTCTGCGGACCGGTCGAGTAGGCAGGAACAGTAAGGCTCAAAACTAGAAACTCAGCGCCCTCTGAACCGCTGCACCGCAGTGCACGGCAAAGGAGCATGTTCGGATCTTTTGAAAGAGCATTTCGCTTTAGCATGGTATTTTGTTTGTTTAGGTAAAGCTTTATCAATGAAGACATGGGGCTTGTTGGCGTGATATAGGTTCACCGTCCAAATAATCTCTCCCTTTTGCTGACTTGTCCTAGTCGAAAATCTATGGAAATTAAAGGGGTCTCATTTTGCGTGTTCTTTATTAATAAGAGCATTTTGTTTTTTGCACTTGGCGTTTCATTGAGCGCCACCCTTTCACCCTAAATCATCCAGATCTCTCGTAAGCACTGTCTTCAAAGGTAAAATGACCAGCATTGATTAATCAGAAGTGCGCCGAGTGCTCAGTTTCCCTTCCGGAACCAGCAGTTACTTCACATGGAATCGGCGCATTTAGATACAACAAGAATGACCGGGACAGTTGTTTCAAACCATCCTAATATTCGCGTATCACTTCACTTCAGCATCTTTGATTGGTCCCAATGTAAGGATTGTCATTAATCACTTGTTTCGATCAGAAATTTCACTAAAGTCGCTTCAAACCGGTTTCAAATTTCAACTCATTTCAAAGCTTGGCTGTGGCAGAACATTTTTCCCAGGATGTTCGAATTCGTAAATGCGATGAAAACAGAAGTCAGAAAAACAAACGATTCTTTGCGTTGCGATTATTGTTGGTTATCTTTTTCGTCCAGAAAATCAATTTAAATCCTGAAAATCCAGAGATCAAGCGGTTATGCGCAAAATTTCCCTATCTCAATAGAAGCTTGAAAGATGTCGAGAACAATCTGTCATACACTGGTGAAGAACCCTCATCTCCCTTCCTTTTAATCGACAAGACGCGCTTGCAATAATGACGACGGGGATAAGAGCCTCGGCTAAAGAACATTACATTCATCTTCGATTCCTTCCAGCTCCCTTGGCAATGTGCAAGTAACGATTTCACTCCTGCCTCAGAGGACATTGAAGCTCAGCGCGGGGCTTGATATTGGACAATACATGTACTGCAGGTCAGGTTCTTGAAGAAATACCATGAGGAATTGACGTAGTTTGGCGAAGAGGAGCAGCAGCGATCTTTCATGGTAGACGCGTGCTGCGTATTCAGAAAATTGCAGTGCCTTTCTTCCATGATATCTGGGGTGTCGGCTTTCGGATAAGTGTAGATGGCACTAGCTGTCAGTTCAATTGCTAAGGCAAATTCAGTTCTCGTCGAAGCGATCGCCCACTTCCTGGGTCTTCAGTTAGATGCTGCTATTCCTGAGCAGTTCTTTCTTCTTTGATTCAACCAAAATTCATCGATCTGTCGTCCTAAACCGAATGTGGGAGGGAAGTGAATGATAGTTGGTTAGACAAATCCTGGCATTGCATTCGACGACCACTGAAAGGCTAAGCTGAACGGGAAGCTAGAAGAAGCGGAGCCTAGGGTTCTTCTAAAATAACGGAAATACCTAGATACAGCTTAGTCGAAGTAGCTAATTTCATTTCGAGAGTACGCTTCTGCCCAGACAGCACAACACTTCACAAATGTGTTGAGGGGAAGAGGTAGGAATGTCTTAAACTGAAAACAAAACACCGTTGCAGAGAAATGTCAGTACAAATTTGCTTTCGATGACGTGATGGGTGCCAGAAGTATCGCAAATGGTTGCTGTCAATCAGCTTGCCTTTCTGATGCATGTGCTGGCAAAAAGTACCATGGGGCAGCCCATTTGTTTCCAATGTCTCATGCACTGCTTAGGAGCATGGAGCACTAATGCTGAGCTGAATCTCTCTCCGTGGGAAATTTGAACGTCAAAATCGGAAGTGGAATCGTATCATATTTTCTGGCAGTGCATCTCGGGAATGGTACTACAGACCCTCCAAATTTGGATTAAGCAGTGAGGAATCGGCACCAATTCAGAGCATGCTTGCCTCCTATTTCAGAATTTGATAGTCCCAGAAGGTCTACAATCCTAACTTACTCATCAACAAGCATCTGTTGTTCATGAATTGCGAAAATAAAAGTGAGCAGAATGGTGGAAACAAGTCACATATACTTTAGAAAACTAGTTTTACATTCAAGGTCGCTTAGAATTTGAGAAATAAGCCGTGAGCAGAACCAATATTCCTGTGAATGTGATTCTCAGACAGTTTCCTCAGGATTACTCGACAAAGGACTGCACTCACCAAAACCTATTACTACTCGACCGGCACGTTACCTTCCATTTCTGGGTCCCAGATGGGAGCTGCACCACCAGGTTAGCTGAGAAGAGCCCTTTTCTTGCAAAGAAACTAAGACCTCTGATGATTATTCACATACGAAGATGGTTTCTAGTCATCAGCTGCTCATACTACGTTGTCATATAAATTCATGCGCTATTTATTATTTTCGTAGTGCTGGCACAAAATCTTCTGGTGCTTCACAGCAGACCACCAAAAAAGACGTTGCTATTTGATAAAAAGGTCTGTCTCGTAGATATTCCGTTTTTCGAATATAACGGGCCAATAATGCAGCTCAATTCGATAGAACTACTATGGAATATACGGACGATACGAGACTGCTAAAAGGACCCAGTGATGATTCCTTTGATGCTTTAGATACACCGGAAATACACTTTTTTACTAAAGGCACAACTCATGCAAAAGTCAGGTGAACGGTTCCCTTCATTCTCTAAGACACACCAATAGAGGACGCCAAATAAAGCATGTGGCATTCCTGTGCGTGAAAGTCGGCGACAAAAACTTCTGTAGGGTACTTCGGCTGTTTACCTGCAGATCGATGACGCAGTTATCCATTTTGGTCTCGGGTAATTCGAAGACAAACGACTCGTTGTAGACCGGGTTTACGGTAGCGCGGCGAACGTGCGTTTTCTTCTTCACAATTCGCTCGCCATTTTCGCGACGCAGGTAGAGCTTCACGTATGGGTCTGAAATTCATTCATAAAGAACCTAACGGACGATGCTGTCATTGCCGTATTCCTGTACCAAGAAGGTGCTAACAAAATTCAATTCGTGCTATTAATAGCGACTGCAGTTCTCTCCTAATGACATCACTCTTGAACCCTGTTGTGCACGCTCCACTCGTGAAACGTGACAACATGACAACAATGTTCTAATCTAATTGCTGTCGCGCTGAATAATTCTGATTATAGCGCTCTTCTGCCTAGCTCGCTAATCCGAATTGTCTCTCCGGGAAACAAGATTTCAGCTTTAGAGAAATGATAATGAAACGTCCGCTCAGTGATTTATCATCTTTCTTAACCTTAAACATCAGTAAGTGAAGATGAGCGCTTTAATGAGCATAGAAATACGGAGGCAGAACATGCTAGCTAAATCTTTTGCTCAATCTCCGGAGACTAATCGCAGAGGAGTTCCAGAATACCCCAAATTGAGAATGGGAACCTTTAATCCTGAGGGCTCCATGTATAACGGAAAAAGCAATGAATACTACAAACGCGGCCACATAATCCAATCCTCCCTAGTCAGGTCACTACCATTTGTCCAGCTACTGGCTACTTCACTCTTCAACAGAAAAATTAATACTTAGAGTTTTCAGCATTTTCATGCTGTTGGACCATACTTTTCCCACGTTGTTGTAGGGCCAATTGGAATCTATGAAGCTAGTTAAAGGCTGTTTTAGTGGGAATTCATATCCACCAGCATAATGCCATGATATGCTGCAACCAGTGTTCAGTTGGATGTGCCCAAACATTAGATGTCAAACCTGCAGCTCCAGTTTCGTTTCTACTTAGGCCGCGAGCCTTGAGCACGACCACGGTCAGATTGTTGAAAGCTGGCTGATAAGTCAGAGAGAGGAGAAGCTCTCCTCGAGCCGCAACACAATCAGATGCACGCGGTTGAAGTGCAAGTTCTACTCTGCAATTATAAAATTTATAAGTCTGAACAGAAAGGGTGAGGGCAGAAGACAAAAAGGGTCGGTAGGTTGCAGGGGTACCTCATCTCCTGGTAGAGCATTAGTTCAGCATCAGCAAGTCTGTAGACGCACTCGCCGACGACTGTGTCGCGACTGTATCGATCGAAAGCAACAACCTGAACATGAGAGTCCGCCGCAATCAGATGGCGTCAAGTGAGTGGAAAATGCTACTCACCTGGAAGTGCAAGGTGCTGAGCGTGATCTGTTCGCTGGTCACCCCGTACATTGTGAACTGCTCATCGTATTTCGGTGACGTCGTTGAGCGAACGATGCGAGTCTTGACACGATGTTCACGTTCTGTAGAGAAATCGTTATTGGGCAAATCAAAAACCTTTGAAAAAAAAACATCGGAAATTCCGACCTGGAAGAAGTTGCAGTTTGACATAGGGGTCCAGAAGACATTGCCCGTCACGGGACACAACCAGCTCGCAGAGATTGCGACATTCCACAATACCAACCTGGAAGATCGTACATCAGTAGGAGAACATCTGTATACTGGGTAAATACTGTTGCAAGAGTTCTGGTCCGTCGCTTCTGCGTTCGCAAGGATCAGCCGGGTCCACGGCCACAGCCTTAGTAAAACTCCGCAGGAGTAGCCTCGGGCTGCTAGTCAGAAAATGCTGCTCATCTCAAAGGTTTCTTTCAAAATATCGTTTCAAATATTCTCCGGGTATTCTGAATCTCATCCAAGGCTCAGGCTGGGGTTTTCCGTGGAACGGAAATTATGCTGACTTGTAGCGCAGCAAGAACAAGGAATTCGTACAGAACCTGAACTATTTGTGCAGTATCCTTGGGGAAGCCACTGAATTCGTTCAAGTTTTCGAAGCGCTTCGAATTTGAGGCCATAAGAATCAAATTGTGGATAACTGTTTGAGAGTCTGAGCGAACTATTCGAATATGTTTTCTAAAAACTTAAGAATCTTAATTATCGAAGTTGAGCGGCATAGTTCAAGCTGATGTGCTGTGGGCAGTATGAATTGTTTTGCTGTTCACCGGTGCGTTCACGCCATCATTGTGTCTGTGGTGAGTATTTTTAGCACACACTTCGTGAGGCTGCTGGATGGTTCCGCAACAAAGACATAATTGAGGCTTTGTTCAGACCTCACAATCTCGTCACAATGCGTGAACTTGTTTCATGGCTTTCTAACAGTTTTAGTGCAGTCTCATTAACACATACGTTGCGGGCAAACTATGTGAACAAGTTTTTTTGGTTTGGTTGCTTTTTTGGTTGTTATTGCTGATTTTGACCACAATTCACCTTGCGAAAAATTCACAAAGTGGGTCATAAACAAAACTTCCGCCCCAAGCCAGACTCGAACCCGCACCTCTCGTTTACCGCGCATCAGGGTGAAATGGTTCCCCAGTAGCGTAACTCGTAGCGCTGTTGCCCGGTAAGGAAGAGTTGGGTTTTGGGTACCGCTTGGATGAAAATGTTGTTCATAACCCAGCATTCTTGTCTCAACTATCTGTCGTCTTGTGTTCGCGTTATTCAGTGTTTACCTGTTACTAAGTAAGTATTTCTGTGATAGTGTCTAGAGGTCGGAAGGAAGTCGTGAAAAGCGCTTTGGTAATGTCGAGTTCTGAATGGATGTCCGAACTTGAAGCAAGAATCAGGATTAGATTGATGGGGTGATTCCACTCAAATGTGAAAGTAGGGATGGGAGGTGGACCGCCAGTGGAGAAAAAAGGAAAGAAAATCCTGAAATACACAGGAAATACGAGCATTTTGCTCTATGCTGTGGAGAAGTTCAAAAGAGATGAGAGATAATGTGAGCGCGGAGAGCGGTAGAGAAGTCCGAGAAGAGAGAGCATAGCAGATCAACGTGGCGACGCAGACAAGATATCGAACGGTGGGCGGACCATGTTAAGTTTGGTGGAGTCTGTTAGAAGTCCATGGCGCCTAGGGTCCTAGTGACGCGTTTCGATGTAGAAAGGTGGCGCTACCTTTGCACTTGCGTACCCAGCACTTCTAGCCATGGTAAGGGCTTCTTAGGTGGGTCTGAGCCCGAACTTTGCCTTTAATTGGTACGAGAAATTTCAGACAGGTCGTGTATTCTCTGACACGACGCAACTGTTGTCACAACCCCGGCAGAAGTTACTCCGGATTCAATTTTAAATTTATAGAGTGGAGACCTCCTAGCCAGCAACTAGACTACAAAACGAGCGTAAGCCCAAGCCCTGTCCACACGTCTTCAAGGTGACTCCTTGTCTTCACCTATCTACAACCATAGAACGCATTGCGGATTGATCGCTCCCCAGAGTCCGTGGCTTTTTGTTTTCGCAGTCCACACAAAATCTCGCAGCAATGCATTCGGGGAACAGACAAGAAAAATGGATTGGCTGGAAGATCTTTGATACGTTGCTCGCCTCTCTCTCGTCGGTTTGTGCTCGCGAACTATGTAGCTCAAACCCATAGCAACGCCACGAATACTGATACTTCCTTCGACACTCAAGCCTTCATCACAAAAACAGTTGTCTGAAACTTGGCTAATCTGAAGGGCGTTAGTCCGTCATAGCCTTTACCAGCCACTCTCGGGACTTCTGATTGAAGTCCTTCATGGAATTGTGCATAGCATGCCGCAATGCGTCGATAGAAGTGCTCTCAAAAAGGCATGTGCAATATCCTGCCGCGAGTTCGTCATAGCGTACCAAACACGCGATTGAAAGTTACAGGGTAGGGTAACGTGGTTATTGACGTGACTGTAGAAAAAAGGGTAATACCAAAAATGGCATACCCATTTCGTACGGTTTCGGTGAAGACTAATGTAGACAAAACGATGACGTAATCCTGGTGGATTGAATTCTGTTTTGAAGGACGAATTCACGATTAGAATGAAAGTCGAAGAAGGAGTAATTCACCTAGTTGAGGGACCCGCGGACCTCCTGAGGGTGCGAACTGAAGCGCAATTGGCACCGAAGGAGTTGACCTCGGCGACCTATTAAGGCTCAATCTTGGCGCGGTGGGCCAGTGCACGCCCACCGATCATCTGATCACTCGCCGCAGGTCTATACGTGGCGAGTGATTAGATAGCAGAGAGAGCGTAGTGTTGAAGAGGGCACAGCGATGAGAGTCGCATCAATGCTCAAATCAACGGGCAAGGAAGGGGTCCCATTTCTCGGGTTCTGGGCCGTTTCTCATGGTTCTTCCTTCTTTCGTGTACCACTCACCATCCCTAGGTTAATTTGAAATGGGTTGCTTTTTCATCGTGAATTCGTCCTTTAAGCAAACGTCTTCCGTCAACATGGATAGTGGAAATATGCGTCACTCAGCATTCGATAACTTTTTCACAGTCACGCCTGATTATGCTTGCGCCTCTTTACATCCCTCCTCTTTCAGAGCAATCAATTGTGAATTTCGTGAAACTCCAGCATGTGCATCGAACCATGAGACATACAATTATAATGAAGTAACACACACTTCCTTGTTTTTCGCTCGGTCACACACCTTTGAAATCGATAAAAATTCCCAATTCCCCAGATGAGGGAAGGAAATGACGTATTTTGATGCAGCTGCTTTTTACGACGGTTTGCCGAGTGCTATACAGCTAATCCTTTCTAATGCACAAGGGGGCCGGAGAGGATTCAAGCGTTTAGTTCCATGAAAACAGGCTTTCAATGACCGCCGTAAGTAGCATGCACCAAGTAATTGCCTCGTTGCTCCTCGATTTTCTCTGCTGCCTTTCAAGTATTCTCAGCCTGCTCAAGAGTAGTAGTTCTCCGCAGGAAAAGTCGATGAAAAGCCGCAAGCCAGGTAGATTGTGTTCTTAAGAGGTCAGCTCTTCCGAATCGCAAGTAAGCAATACAACTATTGTCATCTAAGGATTAGCGAATGGACTGAATCTCCCCATATACGCAAGAAATCCTCCCTTTAACAGCATCTTCGCTGTAAATTACAGTAACCATAGCAACTGTTAACTTGTACTGGATTGGGAATTTATGGCGTTGCCGACAGCGTTGCCGACGAGCATGCTGCATCAAAGTGAGCATATCACAGCGCGAAGAACTACGAATCACAAACTCGCGTTTTCGCTGCTGAATTGAATATGTCTTTGATTGATTTGAGATGCTGTGGAAATAACTATAATTTCGCAACAGGCGCATACGGAAACAATTCACGAGGAGATGCTACCTGCGCATATGGATTGGACCGAATTGCGCGGCAAGTTCCACATAATGCAAACTCATTCTTTTGCCTAGAGTTTGAGTAAAGATAGGGAAAGCAGTGCTGAAGGATGAAAATAATGAGGTGACAGATGCTAACCGTTCATCGGGAT